AAATAAGAGGCCAAAACTTTGAATACGTAAAAGCGCTGTCTCTTGCATGCAAGTAGAGTGAACCAACTCTGATAGGATCTAATAATTTGAATCCCTTTATTGTTTTATAAGTATTGCCAACATACATGAATATAATCCTTTTGGACTCAAATTGATCTCCAATTTTAATAGTGTGTAAGAGCTCTAATAATGCAAGAAAGACTAACATTTTATAGCACTTTGGATCAAAAAGGTAGCGCACATGAACAAAAGGATGGAATGTAGACAACAAATGTTCCTGTTGATTTCACCATCTTATAAACTGTATATTTAGGAAATGGATTGATTTCTTGAATTTCAGGTTAAGACTTAAATGACATCCCTTACAGATTACAGTTGTCTGCCATAAACTGCTCATGATTAATGTATGCCTGTAGTATTGTGAGGATTTGTGATTATTGTCAATAGATGGTTGAGTATAAAAGTTTGTCAGGATCAGACACCTGTTGATTGTATTCCAACAATCTGTAGTCACATATGAAGAACAATTAGGTGTAAATGGATAGAAGGATGAAAGTAGCAATGTTCTAACAACATAAGGATAGAAAATGTGTTTCATAGTTTAGTTTTGTGGTCAGTAAATTTTTACATACATGTAGGAGGGAGAGGACACTGGTCAAGGTGAAAGACAAACTAATGGAAGCCAATGACAATAAGCTCAGACAATCTGATTGGATGTAATGCCAAACTAAATTTGTATGAGCATTGTAGGTTTGACCATGATCATCAATTTGCTGTCACTCTATATACCCTTCAATGATCTCAGATCCAACACTGGATTTTTCATATACAATGAGTGAGATGCTCATGCACAATGAAATACAGGCTTGTGCATAAAAAATGAAATATTTATGCTACTTGTTTCAGTTACTAGCTGAAATTTTGAGTCAGTCTTTTGATACATAAAATGATCATTTATTTAATTAAATTATTTAACTATAAAATGTATCACAAAAGATATCAGAAGAAAAATTAGCAATTTGTTTAATTAAGGTAAGTTTGATATCTTCTAAATCAGTGGTCGACAACCTTTCTCACCTCACGGATCACTAAAGTCACAATTTTGAATCCCGTGGACCATTATTGTGAATTTTTTAAACAATACAAAATCTGTAGAACAATGATCATAAAAGTTCAATTTTATTATATTATAATTAAACATGTGAGTTTCATATTAACAAATTAATGCAAGCCTAAAGTTCATTGCTGCTTGTTTGAAACAAATTTATGGATTCTTTGCGCTTTTCCGTGAAGGACGACAATCGCACTCACAATACTGTTTATTGATAACAGTCACTTCATTTTTGATTTTAGATTTGAATAAAAAACCCCAATGAGTGAAAAAAGCAATAAGCATTTTGCATTTCTTTCGTAATACTTCGCATAACCTTCAGTTGATCAATGTTCAAATTTTCCATGGACTGCCAGTTGCCGGTCTAAATCATTTTAATCCTATTAAGTTGATTTTTCTCACAGCAACAATGGTAAGTTTTCTGCATTTTATTAATTTTAAAAGTACAATTAACAAATTAATAGAGTACTTTGATCATTTAAATTAAATACTAAATGAATTATTTTATTATAATTAAACTTGATAACTTTACTAAGAAATGTAAATACTTTGTTGGTTTGAAATAAATAAAAAGTACAACAAAATTGTTGTTGTTCAGTTGTCTTTTCCATGCTGATTATGGTTAGTGTGAACATGACAATTTAAATTCAATAAAATAATCATTTGTTATTTCTTGTCAAGGTTGATTCATGAGTTCATCATTACATATTATAGATGTGGCCTGCCTTCCTTGAAATTTTATAGTACACAAAACACTTATTTCTGAAAAGATGATGTATCATTCAATCAGACCACAAACTACAATGTTCTGTTAGTATCACTAAATCAGATTAGTGGTCTTCAGTTAAGATGTCTATTCTTTTGGAATCATGGTATTGCACCAAGAGTAACTTACACATATAGCATTCTACACTAAAAAAGTTCAAGTATAAGATACAATACTGTTTCTAGACTCCATAGCATGAATGGTACACCATACAAGTGCTTTCAAGCATAACACCATTATAAATGATGTTTTTTCTTCTATTTCAGCAATATATATTTTAATCTATATTTTCATGTTGTGTGTGCATTTAATTATTGAGGACAATCTAATGCTGAAAATAGGTAGAAATAGTAACTGGAAATACAGTATATAAGTAACCCACTTGCAGCCATGTACTTTAAATATACTAATAAAATATTGATTTGTAAAACAGCCTTAATAGTCCAATAAAGGAATCATCTGTTTGTTTGGTATTTAACTGTTTTTCTTTGTTTTTATTAATAATTTTTCAGTTTATATTTTTCTATACAGTCAAATAAAAATTATATTATGATAATTTTTAAGGGCTTTGTATGATAAACAACTTTTTCCAATCCATAATCCTGTGACCACTGAAATCTCATCAAATTTCACGTCAAAGGCAATGGCATTGACTAGTTTGTGCAGGGCTCAAAACTTTACTTTTACCATTAGTTTGACATTGTTTAAGCTTATACATGATCACCTGCCATTTCTGGTCTTTCAGATCATAGGATTACAATGAGAATGATGCTAGTAAATAAATAGTTTTATACGTTTAAAAATAAGGTTTTATTGCATTCCACTAATGTTTATTGTAAATGAGTATTTTAAATTATTTAGTATATAGCTCATCCAAGAGTGAAAAGTAAAACTTTAGTACTAGTTTTTTTGGTTTTTATTTTTAAACTAATTACAACTTATTTATGTTTACATGTTAAAATTACATCTAAATCTGAAATTAGGAAGAACATTTTAGCTAATTAAATGTATTCATTACACATTTTAAACAGAATACAGATAAACAGTTTATTTAAACAAATTTTATACAATATACAGTAGAGCGTCGTTTATCCGAAAGATGGTTATCCGAAACGTCCGTTATTCGAAAGCATTCCAGTCGGCAAATTTAAATTTTCGCTAGTGCTGTGGTGCTGCAATCTTCGGCTATTTCTCAGGCTACTCAAATATTTTACGTTTTTGATACTAAATTAACATCTGAAGTATAATTTTTTATTGTTTTTATATTTTTCAATAAATTTATTTTGTTTGTACAAAATAAAAAAATAATTTTTAACGATACAATAGTCTTTGTTAGGCTTAACATCGACGAAAATTCAACGCGAAGCGACGCAACGGAGAGAAATTTCAACATGGGATAAATTAATATATTTTTTCGTACATGATTTGTTATCCGAACCACCCCAGTCCCCAATTGATCGGATAAACGACGCTCTACTGTATTTTGTATTATTAAACAGCAGCATCCATAGGAAGCTACTCAGAGTAGATTGGAATGATATAGTCACAAATGGCAGTCCAACAAGAGAGAATGCTATTCCATTGGGTCATCCAAAGGAAACTTTGTCACATCTGTAGAATGAGTGATGAAAGGAATTAAAACTAAGACATTTGGAATCATGAAGACGACAATAAAAGAGGAAGTCCATTTAAGGAATGGATGGATGATGTGAAAGAATGATATTCAGGAGCTGGTTCACTGTGCCCTAGATGGGGTGGAAAAGACGGTGAAAATGGCAACAGACTCCAGTGGGTACTGGTCCCACGGACAGTGATAATCTATATCCTTTCATCAAACTGGATATACAGTAGATCATATAAAAATTCTGCATTACTTTGCAAGAAAAAATATTTTTAAACAATTTGCATTTTTATTTACCAAACAGGATTCATAAATTACATTTCTGTTTTGTTTTCTTTCCTTTCTAACAATCCTCTCATAACAATGAATTTAATAATAATTACTTGCAACTTTATCCTGCCCTTTTCAACTTGGTAGTAATGTAAAATTTAGCTAAGAGGTCTGTTCAAAAAATATGCGGACTGACGTCATAAAACAAAATGTACTTTAATGTAATGTCCTTCAGCACCTTCATTACATTTGCCTTAATCTCGGGAATCGTCTCAAATCTTCCTTTTAAGGGTCTTTTGAGTTTGGGGAACAAGAAAAAGTCACAAGGAGCAAGGTCAGGTGAGTAGGGGTGGGTGGAGAAGAACAGTGATCGAGTGTTTGGCCAAAAACTTGAGTTCTGAGGGCTGAATGGTCTGGAGCATTGTCGTGATGGAGAAACTAGTTGCCACTCCTCCATATTTCTGGCTTTTGCGACAGATGGCATCCCTCAGACGTTTCAGAACTTCAATACAGTAAGTCTGGTTCACTGGAGCCTTCGGGAGGTATTTGTGGTGAACAAACCCTTAGCATCAAAGAAAACCATCAGCATCACTTTGACATTGGATCAAACTTGGCGAGCTTTTTTGAGTCTGGGAGACGTTTCACCCACCCACTGGGATGATTGGACCTTCGTTTCAGTGTCATAACCGTAAACTCATGATTCATCACTTGTTATGATCCTTACAAGAAGTTTTCATCTTTTTCTGAACGATCAAGCTGTTCCTGACAAACCTGGACGCAACTAGCTTTTTGGTCGTCCGTCATCAGGCGTGGCACAAATTTCACAGCAATGCAGTGCCTCTTCAATTTTTCAATCAAAATTTCATAACAAGATCCAACTGATATCCCACACTTCAGCAAGCTCCCTGACAGTCAGATGCCAATTTTCCTGCACCAGGGTGTTGATTTTGTTGACGTGTGGGTCATCAGTTGACATGGAAGGATGTCCAGGACACTCATGGCCTTCAATTGACTGTCGACCACCCTTAAAACACGCTGTAGGCTTCATAGCAACATCACCATAATACCCTATTCACACTGTATATTTTAAGCCAGCTTAGGAATGAAATATGAACGGAACTGACTTAATGTTAAACCGGTTTAACTACCAACAACTGGCTTAGCTTAAATCTCTTTCTCAAAGAAGCTTAAGTCGCTTCAAGCTTTCCTCAAGATCTGCCACAAGTTCAAAAATAATGGCGGAAGCAGATGTACAAATGTTTGAACAAAGCGAGAAAAAACATTCAAAAAATTGGTCAGAGGAGGAGATGGCAATTTTAATTGAAATATGGGGAGAAAAGATCGACGACTTACGTCAAGCGAAACGAAACAAAACTATATATGAAGCAATGGCAGCAGAAATTCGTTTTCAGAGGCCAATGTCCAGAGCGAGAATGTGGTCCAAAATAAGGACAAAAATTAAAAATTTAATTGCCAAATATAGGTAAGTTAAAATTGTGAAAATACATAATCATTAAATTAATTATCGTTTAATATTTAAATAAAGAATTCTTTAAACAGTTATATTTTGAACATTGATACCAAATGACGAAAATTATATTATATTTCTTATTACTCGTACGATAATTGTAAATGATGTAAACATCAAATTAATATTAAAATTTAAAAGAAAAAATTAATCTTCCTACTTGAAACAATGAAATTTTCTTTTTTTATTTTAACTAGAGAAGAAGTAACGAAGATTGGGCATTCGGGAGGTAGCCCATCTACCTGGCAATATTTCCAGGTAGTTAATTCAATTATAGGACATCAGCCAGCCCAGAATGTATCATTAATGGAAGAAAGTTGCAGCAGTATGATGATACAATGTTTACAATCACCTGAATTGGATATAGGTAAACTATCATTAGATGTATCCTATTATATCAACATCTATTACCTAAGTTATAATAATAAATATTTTTGATGGTTAACTTCTCATAATACTTGTCACTTTTCAATATAACACAACACTCTGGAATTTATCATTAAAATTGTACATGTGTACCTTTATTACCATTTGGCATCTATAACTGCAAGAACTATGGAATACCAGTTAAATTTAAAAGTTGTCAGAATAAATTTGTCTGGAAAGAACTAATATTTAAGCATGTTCACAAACTCCATTTTACATATATTTTTGTGTAATTAAGCATTTAAGTCCTGGTGATTTTTCTTATGATTGTTACTAAACATGTAATCATCATTTACTCTAATAAATTAATGTTTTCATATAATTTACATCATAATTGTGTGTATTTAAATAAAATAATGTATAGTGTTAAATAATTGTGCTTGTATCTTTTAGAGAACAATGAAAATTCCAATGAAATAATTGAAGAGGTACTGGTACCACTTGAACCTGAAATAAGGGTGACGAGGTCGTTGAAGAGAAAGAAACGGCCATTGGAACAGCAAATAAATGAATTAATAAGTGAAATTAAAAGAAGTAATGATGTTTCTGAGGAATTGGAAAGAAAATCCATAAAAATTGCAGAGGAAGGACTGCAACTACAGAGAGAAAGTGTAGAATTGCAAAAGGAATTGTTATCTGTAATAAAAATGTCTAATTGATTTGAAATAAAAATCATTTTTATTGTATATGATCATTTATTTTCCTCATTTGAAAATACATCTTTGATGATTGTGTGAGGACTGCAGTTATAAAGGCATTAAAATCTATGAATAATAATTAATGAAATTAAAAGTATAAACAATAATTTATTAACTATATAAATATTTATTTTCCTGACTTTATAAATGTTATAAAATTTATATACTCTAACATTAATCTGAAATAAATTACTTTGACTGAAAATTTGTCTAGTGTTTGTATTTTTATTCAGTCTCCTGATTTTCAAGAGCTTGTTTAAAAATAATTTGCAGTTACAAGGAGTTTCATTTAACACAAGTTATGAGGACTGCTCGCTCACACAAAATTAATTTATATTAATGATTTTAGAACAAACAGATAATTAGTTAGAACTTTATACATTATTTAGGGGGGGCGTGTCTAGCCTGCGGAGGTGTTGGTGACTTTTTTGCTGAGCTGTCGTGGCGACGTTGGACATGGAATTTTTACAACAGAATATTAAGTGTAGAACTGAATTAAGTAGTTCAAATGTTGCATTAACTAGAATAATAATTTTTATGTTACTAATGATTGCCGGAATTGAGTTAAATCCCGGACCTTTTCCTCGATCTCCTCCAATATCAAGTCAAGCAGTTATGCAAAAAAGGGGACGAGGGAGACCACGTAAAGAGCATACAAGAGATATAGAAGAAAATACTCAGACAAGCGAAATGTCAGGAGAGGAATACTTATTTGAGGAACATTCCAAGAGCACTACAGATATCTCGAGGTATGCTAATATAAAAGACTATTTCGAACCGGAAGAAGATTTATCAACAAAGACTACTGAACCTGAATACTCAATTAAATCGGTCTATGAATTAATCCAAGACAAATTTGAAAGTTTGAACTTCGAAATCCGGTCCCTGAAAGCTGAAATGAACAAAATGAACGAAGAAAATTTAAAGCTCAAGGAAAAGTTAAAAGATATGTGTAAAAAAATACGTTCATTAGAAGAAAGAACAGATTCGTACAGTAAGCTAAAAGGTATGGTGGACTTTGAAATTGATAAAATGTTAAACGAGAGAACTAAGAAGAATCTAATTATATTTAATTTTCCATTTAAAAC